ATCATATAAAAGTGAAAATAAAAAATTGAAATTGTTCGAAATTGTTGTTGCTTGAGATTGAAAATGAAAATGTGTGTGTGAGTTTGTGAGTAAATTTAAAAATTAAATTGTTTGGAAACGTCAAGAATTTTAAAAGTGACTCTCAGCGGTTCTACCTTACTATATTTTTATCATGGAAAAAATTATCTTTAGACTTGGCAACAGTTTATAGCCTGAAAATAATTAAGTCTTCCTTAAGAGAAAAGCTTCTAATTGATTTAATATCAAAATCGGCCCTTCGGAACAGTTTATAATTGAGAACATTTTGAGGTTGAAAGCCGTTTAAAGTTGATAATAGTTAACTTCGGAAAATATTTTGATATTAGCCATAGTTTTTAGTTGGGAACAGCTTGATCTTTAGAACGTTTTGCAGCTGAGATGAGTTACAGAATGAATTTATGTACATACATATGTATATAGATAAAAATTTGAAAACAAAACATGCAATTTTCTTGAAGGACAGCACTCATAAAGAGGATTAGGACGGGTCAATTTGTATGGGAAATTTTTTCGACTATGCGCGTATACAATCCAGCCAAGAAATCTCGGCAAAATATGTAAATAATTTAGAAAATCTCGCAATTATTTTTATATTTTGTCGGGGTTTTGTCATGATTGTCTTCTGTTTTCCCTCAAAAATAATAAAACAACGGTAGGTCAAGGAAACTTGATATTTCGATGGGGTCGAACCAGAGGGAGAGGGGTATTAGTTGAGTTGGATTGAGTGGGCATGTGAAGAGGTGGTTGGCCTCATGGGGGGAATCTCCACATGCTGGACATTCATGTTAGATGTTGGGAGGCGAGTCGGGCCAGAGTTACGCGGGTCTCTCGTGGCAGTTGAAGCTCACACTCATTCACAGCTGGTGATTGTATACTGATGACAGCATTCACTCGACTGGAGTGTGTGTAGGTGGTAATAGCCTATCTGTAAATGCCGTTAATAGCCCGACTGTAGAGTCCCAGTCCCAGGTGTGACGACTGTAGCACTCTACTGGGAACTGCTTGCTGAGCATGATGTTGTGCCCCTTAATGGGAGAATTCAGGATTAACTGTGGATGTGATGTTCTGGCGACATTAGAACACATCCCCTGGCTGTCAGTGGTGTTGTGTTTGGGATGTCTGTAGCTCCGTCCACTGCGTCCCAATTGTCCCCGGCGACCACGCAGGCGCTGCATAATTTAGAAACGATCGGCCCATTGCCTTGTATGTTTGCAACAATGTTTCTTTGTATTTTCCCAAAGTACTGCCGAATTGCGGAATTGACTTTACTATGGCTCTGTACTTTGTTGGCAATTTCTGTTGTGTGCGCCGAAAAAGAGAGCGGGCTCCGATGATTTTCCGGTTGTTTACCCTCGGCATTGGTTTGCCGTCGGAGAATACCAAGCTGTAGCCAGACCCCTTTCGTCCTGGTGGTTGGCGAGGATTTCGCCTGGATTGTGTCTTGTTGGGATTTACAGTTGTCGGGATTTTGTCTTGTCTGAATACTATGTTACCTGGATTTGATTTGGTCGGGATTTGGTTATGTCTGTATTATGTCCTGTCTGGATTGTTTATTATCTGGATTTTTGAAAATTGTCTGAACTATGTATTGTCGGGATTATGGGAGTGCTCCCGCAGTTGGCGTAGGGTCTCAATTTTTCATATGTAACTTTAATGGACATAAATCAAGAATAATACCAAAAATGGGCGTGATTGGTTTATTTTAAAGCATACCTCCCATGCAATCCTAAGGTCAAAAACGTAAAAAGCGCACCGGTGAATATATTACTCCGAAAGTTTGTACGTACATACATATGTATGTATGTTTATAACAATATTGTAAGAGAACACACAAAAAATGCACAAAATTGGTAAATTTTAACGCATACCTCTCATACAAGCTAACCTCGAAAAAGCCTTAAAATCATTGAGGCTCATTAAAATTGGTATGTATTTACAAAAAGTTTGCAGATATTTGTAGCTGGAATATATTAGATGTAGATCCCAACTAGTATAGAAATAATTTGTGCTATATATAGGTCGTTGACGAAAAAAAGCTATAGTCAATTCACAGACTTACTTGACAAAAGCAAAAATGAACACGTTAAATCGGGATTAAGATTGAGTATAACGGTCAGAATATATCAACGTTGAAGTAATAATAAATTTTCTACAACGAATAAAGCAACGCTCTGTATACAAGTTTAAGGAAACCACAAACAAATTAGGCTTTTTTACCGAAACGAAATTAGCAAATAATTAGAAGCCTGCTTCAAATCGATTTGGACAAACCCAAAATGCAAAGGCACTTTAATATTTTGTTATGTATGCAAATAAATTAGAAAGGAGCGGCGCAGAGACAAAGTAAATAGCAAATCTAAGCCAATGCTACAATAAAAAGGGGAAAACTAAAATAAAAAAAAATAAAAAATTAAGAATAATTGCTCATATAAATTGAGCGGAAGGAAAGGTAAAGGTATTAGAATTGCACAGAACGCCCAATGTCATTAGCGCTTTTTTGGCTTGCCAGTTAATTAGGCGATTTAATTGGTTATTGAACTGGCCAGCGTACCAGTGCGATCAGTTTGGTGGACTTGAGACAAAACAAAAACAAAACAGCAAAAATTAAGTCGAGTAAAAAATTAAAACATCAACAAATAAAAAAGCACAAGGCAAAAAGTAAGCGCAGCCCTAAAATAAGCAGCCGGCAATAAGTTATGTCACAACAACAACCGGCTGGTATTCCGCTGCTAACCGGAAGACAAATGCAACACACAATCAACAGGTCTAAATTTCAAAGGTGGGTAATTGGTAACACGTTTAAATTATGTTTTTTCTTTGTGGTTATTTTTAAATTAATTTGACAATAAATTAATGTAATTATTATTATGAATTTTTATTTGTTTTGTTAATTTCAACCTTTGGTGGCACACAACACTATATGCACTTTCTTATTGAATTACGAAATCCTACCACTTTGGGTAGAGCGTTAATAACAAAATTTAATGGATTTTGCACGAATTGCATGTTTTCGTCCATTCAGCTGGCTCAGCCCTTCCTCCGCATCACAGTTCCATCACTTCCCCGCCCACGCCTTCCTTGCCTTGCGCCTGCCGCTCTAATTTCTCCTTCTCAGAATTCTCCAATTGTTGCAAAGTCAACAGCGATATACCCAACTGATCTTCACGCGTAAATGGCTGTGCCATGCGTCGTAACCAACGTCGTGCCAACTGCATAGCTTCTTCTGTGCTTAAATTACAAAAACTATCCACTAAATGTTCCTGTATCCATTTGGGCAAGCGACTACGTTTATCTTGACGCGAAAAGCGCTTGTCAGCAAAGATCATAATACCGTAATCGGTTTTACCACGCAAGGCGCGTCCCACGCACTGCGCCGCATGACGCATTGCGTCGAAGGTGAGAAAATCATTTTCTCTTATCTGAAATTGATCGCGCAGATAGTCAAGACGCGCTTTAAGTATGCGCGACTGTGTATAGACATAGGGAATGCCAAACATAAGTACGGCACGGCCATAATGATGGTCAAAATCCACACCCTCAGATACTTTACCGCGCGCTACGGCTAATAACACAGCGCCGCGGCCGCAATCACATGCCTTCGATTTGGGAAAATGTAAATGTAGAGTGATATGTCTCATTTTAGAAAATCAAACTCACCTTAACATAGTTCATAAGCGCATAGCTTGTTTCAGCATTGTCCTGTGTTTCAATAAATAACAGCTTATAGCGCAGTAAGGTGTCCACGATGCCTTGATCATACCACGAAGCGACTACGGACTCAAGATAGAGATAAGAAGTAAAGAAACAAACAATGCCATCGGGAACTGTCTTCGCCGTCTCCACCAGCAATTGGCCATAGTTGCGTATGACTGCTGTATCCTCACGTGTTTCGAATTTCGAGGAAATCGCCACCTGATCATTGCCCTTCGAAACAATCTGCATAAGAAATTACAGTGAA